GAGGATTAAACTGAGGCTATGTAGGTAAAATACTTGGCGCCTTATCTGGAATATAGGTTGTACCCAGAGAGTATTAATTTCTTTACCTCCCAGCCCAGTGGTCCCATCGTGCCTTTTCAGACTTTCTTTTTTTTTTTTTGCTCTCCATATAAGTTTATTTTTTTCTTTCTACTTGTCCTTTTTTTAAAAATTTATTATTTTTTATTAGTTTCAGGTGTACAGAATAATGCAATAGTTATCCTTTTCACCCCTCACAAAGTAACAACCCCCCTCCCCCCAGCCACTGCCCTCCCACCCCCTAGATCATACTTATCTATTACAATTCCATTGACTCCATTTCCACACTCTACTCCACATCCCGTGACTATATTGTATATATAATTATAGTTGACATACAATATTATTCAACATCAGCTTCAGAAATACAGTGCGGTGGTCAGGCCTCTACACCGTCTATGAAGTGGTCTCCCTAACAAGACATGAGTCCATCTGGCCCCCTAAAAAATATTGCTTTTCAGACTTTCCACAACCTGAACAAGAGCATCCTGAAGACTAGGGTGAGCAACATTCATTCATTCAATCAGCATTTGCAAAAAGTTCCTAAATACCTAGCACCCTGGAACATCAACCTAAAGGTTTTAAAAGATATTATTTTAATATTAAGACAAATATTATGGAGACAAATACAAAATTTGCATTAACTTTAAAGAAAAATATGAGTCTTTTGCCCATGACCCAGATTCCCAGGGATCCCATACAGGGCAGCTTGAAGATGCTAAGCTACCCAAGGACATGACTTCAGGTCCCATTCGCACAGATCTCCACCTTTTCCTGCAGTGAGTAAAGAACCAGAAGTGACATGGTCCTTCCCTAAGAAATCAGGGTGGAAGAGAATTGGTCCAAGACAAACCAGCCAATTACGCAGTAAACACAAGAGCTGTCCCCAGAGCACTGCTTGCACATTCTGTCTTTCTGACTTGTGAGTCATCCTGGGGCCGACTCTTCCAAGATTATCTCACCTTCATTTCTCAGGAAAAGACACTCCTATTTCTAGGAAATTTTCAGTATGTCAATCTGGGATGGTTAGCCAAGTCAAAGTTGTTTTCCTTCCTTCCCATTCTAACCTGACCTTGGAGTCACTCTCCAAGGTCAGATTCTGAGATGGGACAGGAGGTGACCCCATCCATTTATTTTTGCTACCTGTGCCTTACTGGACTCAGGTCTGTGGGCTCCTCTTAGCACAGGCTGACCTGGGCTGGAAACCAGATCTCCCATGTTCACTTTCTCATCAGAAAAAAATGTAGCTCCTTCCCTGAATCAATCACCATGTTAGCTCATTTCTGTATTTGATATAAACAGAAAAATGGTAGCAGTGACCATCTCTGAGTGGCGGGAATACAAGTGGTTTCTATTTTCATCATTTTGCTTACCTGTATTTTGTCATTTTCAACAATGATCATGTATTATTGGGTCATTGGAAAAGTCATGACGCATCTTTGCATTGAAAAACATAGAAAAATACGTCATGACTTTCCCGACGACCCAATATTTGTGCACAGAACATGAAAAAAAAGTGTCAAGACTTAATATTCCTCTCATATAGCTGTTTCCTGATGATTTTACATTTTGAATTAAAGCTCAGAATTCAAAGCAGAAAGTCACAGAATGTTTTTCCATATAAGACTAGAAATCCAATAATTCCTTTATCAAGCTGAACCAAATTCCAGTTTACACTTAGGTTTACAAGATCAAATGAAATTGCTTTTGAGGCAGTTATTTGTCCAATGTACTTGGCATATGGTTAAGGTTATCTTCCTATGAATCAAAATCACAACAAAACTAGAAAAACTGCTGTTGGGGTAATGGAAAACAAAATTCAAAGCCACGTCCTTGGAAGATCACATTATTCTCCAAAACACCTTAGTAACCTGAGGAAGTGATGACAGGTGTGGAACTGTACTCGTAATTCATTCAACCGATATTTGAATATTTACTGTTCCAGGCACCATTCTAGGCACTGGAATACAACAGTAAACAAAACGAGCAAAAGTTCCTGCCCTCACGAAGCCTGTATTCCAGTTGGGGAGACAGAACATTCCCATGCAGAAATATAATCCTTAGCATAATATTAATACTGTTTCTGCTTCCCTGTTATTTTTCTTAGAGAAGGAGAACTTTCTACCAAGTACCTTCTAAAGCTAATGACCAGGTCGGCTATTTCTTGACATAACCCTACCAGGAGTGGGACAGACTGGATGCCAGTAACTTTGGAGAAGGTACTTAGGGAATTGGAGAGCTACCCAGTCATGACCTTCCTACAGTGATGATCCTAAGGACTTAGCTGATACAAAACAGTTCAGATGTTCCCAGAGGAAGAAGCTGAAGTGCCCCCAAGCATGAATGGAGTAGAGAACTGAGCTAGAAGACTGGGAGATCAGGAACTGCCACAGTGGGCTATGGGATAAGCAGAAACAGGAATGGGACTGACTTACGGAGACACAGATTTTAGCTCCACATGAGGGCAAACACTTCAACAGCCAGAGCTGCCCCACAGTGGAGTGGGCTGAAGGAAAAACGGTTCTCAGGCTCTGGGTATGGATGACCGGTTTGTGTGACCTTGGCTAGTCCTGTAACCTCTATGGGCCTCAGTTTCCCTGCCTGTAAAATGGGAATTATAATGGTACCTAGTTCATGGGATTGTGGTGAATATTAAATAAGAGAAAGCATATAAAGTGTCAGGGTACCACTACCTGACACAGAGTAACTTAGACATTGAAAGGCTACCTAGATCAAATGATAAAGTTTAAGAACTTATAATCTATGATTTTTTATAGTGGTTTAATTTTATATCAAAACAATATTATATACATGTACAGCCATATTTGGTGAGAGGATTAAAACTGGTAGCTGTGATCTTAACATCCCCAAATCCGGGCTATGACAAGGCTAGGACCTATAGTTCACAGAAACTTATAGTTCTCTGTGAGTAACCCTCTGAATGATGCTACCACATTTCTGATATGACCGTGGTCCAGGCCCAATACATGATCCCTGGCTGATGTGGACATATGGTGATCTTGATCCTCCCTGGAGGTACTCCAGGTTACTGGGCAAAGGCAGGGATAAGGCCAGCACCAGTGTTCAGTGCACACTTGGATTAGAGGATCCCTAAGGCAGGAACACCCCCCCCCCATAATACACACACCCAGCAGGGTTAATCTGGGGGTGATCTGGGGTTCAAGGTAGGAAGTCCCCAGAGAGGCTGTGCTCAATGCTCTCAAGGGCACATTACCGACCACAGCAGCAGTGCCAGTCTCAGCCCTACTCTGGGATAGCCAGGGCTGATAGACTCGGATGATGGCAGCCTGTGAACAGGACTCTGGGGGAACAGCCAGGCTGGGCTAGAAAGCCAAACCATAGCTCAGTGGGATGAAGGGGAGCCTAAAGGCAGCACAGGATAGAATCCCACCCTACTCATAATCCCTCCTGTGGTTCCAGGGGTGGGGGTGGGGGCATATCCAGACAGGTTTCCTCTTCACCCCAGCAAGGACACCCCAGGGGCAGCTGCACAGCCTCAGATGAACTGCCGTACAGCTGAACCTCACCTCCTGGCCCTGGCTATTAGTAATGGTCAAAGGGTAGAAAGGGCAAGCAGCCAATCCATTTGTGTGCCCAGCTGGTCCTCTGGCAGCTGCAATCCCCACACCAACTGCCTTAGGGTCAGTGGTCAGCCTTTAACTATCGAGCCAATGGCCAGCGCACAAGTTCCTCCCATCATACCCTCCCCCAGCCAGCTTTCCAGGCATGCCTAGATCTGATCTGTCTGAACTCTCAGCAGGTACAGAGATCAGGCCTATCTGCCCCTACTCCTCTCACGCCTACTTCTTAAGAATCAAATCCCAAACAATAATATTTTATATGTGTGTGGTGCTTAGCACTTTTCGATTCACTTTACATACTCTGCATGTATTGGTTAGAATTTTTAGTTGTAAGCAAAAGTAACTAACTGTGGCTGATGTGCACAGCAGAAAATATAAATTAAAAGATAATGAGGGGGCGGCCGGTTAGCTCAGTTGGTTAGAGCACCGAGCTCATAACACCAAGGTTGCAGGTTCAATCCCCACATGGGCCACTGAGTTGTGCCCTCCACAACTAGACTGAAAAACAATTACTTGATTTGGAGCTGATGGGTCCTGGAAAAACACACTGTTCCCCAATAAAATTAAAAAAAAAAGATAATGAATAGCTCACAAAATCTCCAGAAGGTAGAAAATCAGGCTTGCAAGCACGCAGTCAACAACAGTGCTCCAAACCCCAACTCAGCAGTGGTCTAAGAAGACACCACTATGACCATCCCTGCCACATACATTACAGACACCCTCATAGGGATGCTGTCCATAAAACTGCTGTCACTGCAAACCGAGACTGGACCTATCAAAGCACTAAAAGTGTTGCAAAGCAGACCCTGCTCCTTTGCTGTCATGGGCTTCCAATTCAGAATTGGTGAGGAGTGGCATAGGGGCGGGTGCTTGTCTGACTGGAGGAGCCTGTGCCTCAGGCTCACGCCCACGCCCACACTACAAAGGAAGATGGTTCCATTCATGAGGCATGGGGTTCCTCAAGCACAGGAAGGAGGCCCAGCTGGCAGGCAACCAAAATGAGTGACAAACATCCAACTCTTCATCTCATTTGATCATCACACCAACATGTGAAGTTGTCAGAATGACTATCCCCATCTTAGACAACAGGAGTGGGAACAACAGGGCAGTTTCTCCACTAACACATTGAAATAAAATAGAGAGAAAAGCAAAGTCTTGCTTTCAGGTTTAAGAATATCAACTGCAGAAGTGTGGGATGAGAGGAACTAGATTTGGCCGCAGGTCCACATAAAGGTCTTGGAATTTCAGCTGACCTTAAGCGTCACACGAACCCAGCTGAAGAGGCTGCTGACATGGCCACTGCAGAGACGTGTGGGTGGAACAATGTCTTGCCAGACTTACCTGGGGTTGACCGTTTCTAGTCTGGCCACATATTTGCAGAGATGGGCAGCCACGACAGGGAGGTTGTATAACATCTGGTATGTGGACTCTGCTGCTTCAGAGGGCAGAACTGGGGCCCCATGGAAGCCACAGGAACCAGAAGCTAGTTCAATGTCTGTACAGCAGGGCAAAAACAAGACAGGCTTCTGTGAGGTGGTGAGGTCCCCATTGCCAGGGGTATGCAAACAGAGACTAGAAAGCCATCTATCAGAAATTTTAGTTGAACTAGATGATGAATGCAGTCCCTTTGAATTCTAAGATGTGATAAGCCTCCAATGTGTGCTAAACATTGGGCATGATATACAAAGTAGGATAATGGCCCTTCAAGAGCCTCTTGGGACCTACTGAACTAACCAATGACCAAAGAAAAAAACCAAAAATGTGCACTCTTACTAGACATAAATTATATGTAAAAATAAAAGGAAGGATCACTTTATACTTTACATTAGCCAAAATTGAGAGTAATGTCCAATGTTGGAAAGGCTGTGACGAAGCTGGAACATTCATGCTGGCAATTGAGTAAAACGGGTATCACTTTTTTTGAAATCAATGTGGCAGATGGTACAAAAAAAAAACCAGGGCTGGCCGGGTGGCTCAGTTGGTTAAGAGTTGGCTTAAGAGCACGAGCTCTGAGCAACAAGGCGCCAGTTCGATTCCCACATGGGCCAGTGATGCTGCACCCGAGCTGAGCTGCCAACAGGTGGCAGGATGGCTCAGCTGGTGTAACAACAAGATTGCCTGTTCAATGGTGGGCTATGTCCACCTGCAACTAAGACAGAACTCGGCACCTTGAGCTGAGCTGCAGCCCAGATAGCTCAGTGGATAGTGCGTGCGCTCTTAACAACAAGGCTGCCAGGTTTGACTCCCGCATAGGATGGTGGCTAAGCCCATCCACAGCTAAGATTGAACACAGCACCTTGCGCTTAGAGGCCACAAGCTGCCAACAGGAAGCCAGATGGTGAATGGCGCCCTCCACAACGAAAACTGAAGAACAACAACTTGGCTGGTCCCCTTCCCTAATTCCCCAACACTGTCCCCCTCCCCCAGTTCCCCAATAAAATCTTTAAAAAAAAAATTATGTTTAATCCTTCAACCCAATAACTGTTCATTTGGGAATTTTCCTTAACGAATAATTTGTAAAGGGTGATTGCTATAAACTTTGGCGTATTCATTACATCAATTTAAATAATAAACAAAAAGTCTTAACTAGGGGAGAGGTTACATATAGTATGGTACCTGATGGGATATTAGGCAATCATTACAGATGGTGTTTATAAAGAATCTCTGTTCCTTAAGGGCAAGTCCTGCATCCTGTTTACCACTACAGGCCCAGCACTGTCTGAACATAGAAATGACCCATTAAATATTCATAGAATGAATGAGTGAATGAACAACTGAACAGGTGAATTCAATCTTAGCAAGGGAAAATGTTCATTACATGTTATGTTAGAAAAAAAAAGCAGAACTCAAAATTATATCTAAACTATGATTTCTAGAATATGAAAGATTATTTACACATGTCCTACATGAGAAGTGTAATGTGAAAAAAAATAGATGTCAGGGTCACATACTAGGGATGATGTGTTATTCTTATTCCTTCAACATGTTTTACTGAGTACTTGTTATGTATCAGGTGCTATGCCACACTGTGTGAGTACGGCAGTAAACAAAATAGACAAAGTCCCTACCCTAATGGAGAGTTTATTCTAGTGGGTTAGTGGAGGAGTGAAACTGGGGGAGAGACAGACAATAAACAGACAAGTAAGAGAGTGTATAATATGTCAGATGGTAATAAGTGCTATGGGGGGAAAAGCAGGACAGGGGCTAGAGAGGGCCAGGAGAGGAAAGCCTGCGATTTTATATGGAATGTCCATGAGGATATCTAGGCAGAGGGAACAGCAAGGGCAAAGGCCCTGAGGCCAGAGTATACTCAGTGCAATCAAGGAACAGCATGGAGGTCAGTGTGCTGAAGCAGAGGGGACCTAGGGGATGAGGCAGAGAGGCTACAGGAGAGAGTGTGTATGGCCCTACAGGCCATCATAAGGACTTCAGGGTTTGCTCTCAATGAGAAAAAGAAGCCACTGGAGAGGTCTGAGCAGAGCTATGAAATGACCTGACTCATGTTGAAAAAGAACCACTCCTTTTATAGGAATATCTTATGAAAGTTTAAGATGAAAGGAAGAATTTTAAACATGGACAGATTATCATAACATTCATGAATTGATTCACAAAATATTTTCTGAGCACCCACTGTTTCCAGGGGCTGGAATAGCAGGCCTATTTCAAGATTACAAAGACTTATCAACTACATGAAAGTATTTTTAAATAATATTGACCTTTTTTTTAAGGCAGAGATTGCTCAAAGCAATTAACTGATTTTACCCTTTTTTTCTTTAGAAATTATGGGGATCATTTTTCTTAACTGACACTTAGATGCACATTTCATATTCTATATCAAGTCCCATAGTTATAAACTGAGCTGCTGTTTGGGAAATACTAAAGTTGGCTGCTGATTTGACTTGTCTTAAATATCTCACATACAACACTTCTGCAGCACCACTCCCAATCCAACATTACTGATAGGAGACGCTTGTGGGAAGTCTATACGTGCTGGCAAGATTATCTGAAAAAATAATGAAATCCTTGTAATCCTTTCCAAAGATGCAGAAAGGAAAATGGCTGCATTTCAAATTCATGGCATTTCGAAGGCATGAATTAAGCTCTAAGCTCTACATTGGGAAAAAAAATCAACACAATTTTCTAATTTATGTCCTAAACTGAGAAAACAAATCGTTGCTAAGAAATGAAATTTGCAAAATTCTTAAACACATTTTCTAGTTGACGTGCACATACTTAAATCTATAAACTATACCAAAATAAAATTGCAAAAATCACTACCCTTGAATTTGGCTGATATAACTTCACCATGAAAGCTGAAATTAGTTTTGTTTTGTTTTGTTTTTTGTTAATTTTATTTCTAGACATTCTGCCTTTTAGGTGTGTATAAAACTGATCATGTGTAGATAATTTTGAGACAATACTTCTGTGAAAATGTATGAGAAAGCTCATTGGTTCTCTTTCTCCTTAACCCACATGCCTTGGGTAAGAGGGCTTCTTTTTAACTCGCCAACATCTCAACTTTTGCGACACTCATATGTCAGAGGGCTCTGTATCTGATCTTTCTTCCTTGCCATCCTCACTGCACAGTTTAGCACAGGGCTACTAGGGTTCCTTCTCTCCTTTAAAGCAGCCATCTTTCTGGGAGACTTGCCAATAACCCATCCAACAAATTTGCCTTTTAATCCCACGACCTCCTCTCCAGCCATCCTGCCCCTGCCCCTGACCAGAGCCCTTACACCTCTGACCAGCACTGCCTGCCCTCCCTGCTCTTCCCTCCCACCCATCACATCTATCCTTGCACTCCACTGAGAACCCCACCCCTCCCATCTCTCCACTCCATCCTAGCTTCACCTCCTTCCTCTTGTGGACCATCACTTCCACCTCTCTTGTCAGCATCTGCAACTTGCTTGCTTTCTTGTCTCTCTTGTCCAACACAGCCCAGCCTTGGATCAGCCTCACCAGTAGCCTTCTCCATGCCTATCTCAGGTCTGATGAGTTGCTGAAAAAAGCCCACAACCACACAGATAACCTTGGGAGAAGGCCTTAATATATGTGCCCCCACAAATCCATGGCCTCCAACCTCAGCAAGCTCTCACCACTGCCCTTCAGTCTTTGTGGGTTGCTATTAGCTTTCCCTACTTTTTTACCCAGAAGGCATCTTGAACATTTTCCTCTTTCTCCAAGCTTCCCACTGACCTACTAACCTACTGACCTACCTGTATCTCCAACTTCTCCTTCCTTTCCCCCTCCTCATCTTAGAGGAAAAGTGGGCCCTCCTCTTGCCTGAGGCTCACTGTGAACCCCACCACTTCCCACCCTCTTGCTGATCTCACTCCATCCTTCAGTCCCTCTCTTTCCTGTATCCTCAACTGTCCCTCTACTAACTTTACCCCATCAACATCTTTAAATGTCTTTCTCTCTCCCAACTTAAAAAAAAATTGTCTCTCCACTCTACATCCTTTCTGGTTTCTCCCTCCTCCCCTCCAAAACCACTCCCAAGAGTTATCTACCTGCACATCCCATGCACTCAGACTTCTGCCTGTGCTACTCCACCGAACCTACTCTCCAAGGTTGTCAAGAACCTCTTTGTGGCCAAATTTGGCGTTCACTTGTTCTGACCTCGGCTTACTAGACCATTCTGCACCATGTCACCTCACTTCCTCCATTTGGCTTCTGTGGCATACCATTCTTTGGTTTTCCTCCTATCTTTCTGTTTTTCTCACCTTTTCTTTGTGCTCCTCTTTCTCTACCTGTCCCATAAATGCGGGTATTTCCGAGGGGAGTTTGGTCTTTTCTTTGATCCTCTCTACTGAAAGATTTCATCCTTTCCTATTGCTTCAATCATGATGTATAGTTTGAAAGCATGATAATTTAAGACTTTCTCCACATCAGGTCTCTCAAGGATGACAGGCTCTCAGGCTTTGCCTTTTTGGTGTAAATTAGGTTCAGGGTATTAGTCCCCCTAGTTACTTCTTCTTTGGCCATGAGTTAATTATTCCCATATATTAAGGCATTCTCCCAAGGTAAGCTCCAAATCACCTAGTGGACATCTCACCTGGATGTCTCCCACTCACCTCAAACTCACCTCTTCCTCCTCTCCCTGCCTAAACCTGCTCCTTTATTATTCCACACCTCGGAGGAAAGCACCACCACCCATCCATCCATTTTCCTAAAGCAGACACCTGGGTATCATCCTTGACTCAGCACTCCTCCACCCCCTCAGCTCATTACTCACAAAGTCCTCTGAATATTTACCTCCTTAATACATCTCAGATCCACCCCCCCTTTCCCATCTTCATAGATGCTTGCTAGATCACTGTAGCAGCTCCTGACCTACATCCCAGACTCATCTTCTCCTGGTCATTCTCCGCACAGGCCCCAGGCCTTTTTAAAATGCACATTTCCTTAAAAATCTTAGTTATCTTTAGCATAAGTTATATTCCTCAGCCTGGTATACTAGGCTCTTTGTTGACCCAACCCTGGTTAATCACTCCAACCCCGTGTCTGAGATTCAGCATTCTGGTTAATCCCTCCATTACTTAATTAGAAGATGGAACTTCACTGAGACCTATTCCCCCTTCTAACAAGATAGGAGGCTACCTCAATGTTCCCCTGGACTCCTTTGCAACCTCGGCTTCTAAGCATCTAGAATTCTACTCTATTAGGGTTTTCTGTTCTAAAGCACCCCTAAAAGATGACACGACAAATATGTTGAGCATAATCATAGCACTGATAAGAGAATGGCAAGTTGAACCCAGATTACCTGGGACATTACCTCCTGCCTATTTTTTCACAAAGCAATTTCTGCTAATCTAAGATGAAAAATGTGGAAACAGAGTAATATTTGTTAAGTGCTTGAGATTTATGAAGTGTTTTACATAAGGCATATGTATTATATTTTCCATTTATCCATTTTATTTTCAAGTAAACAAACTGCAAATCCAAGAAGGTTGTTTGTGCAAGGCCACACAGCTAATAAATGGATTTAAATTCCCCTACCTTTACCTTATTAGCTGCTCCCTAATACCAATAAATAGCATTTTACATCTGAAGAAACAGGACCAGCCCAGGATCACATATCTAATCAGAGGAAAGTCAGAATGAGAACCCAGGTTTCCTGTCTAATTGGCTGATCAGATGCTGTTTTATTCCCTGCTTTCTGGGAGAATCGTGGAACTCTGACCTTTTTCCTAATTGGAACAAGTCTCTGAAAACCAGCACTACTCCTGATAGGCTAAAGTGACCTCCAGAGTTTCAGCTGTGGTTCCAGGCCCTCAGCCTATGTTCCGCTGACCCACCCTGTGGCATAGTCCTCCCCTTACCCTCTTTTCCAACGGCCTATGCTCTCACTGCATCCACAGAATTAAGCACTCTGCTTCAGCACAAATCCCATTCTTTCCTGCCTCCTTACAGTTTTCTTATCTTCAGTAATGAGGCCCCATCTGTTCACCCAGCTCTAATGGTCTTCCCTCATGGTTTAGCCAGGACCAAAACCCCTTTGCCATGCCTCTCAGAAGTCATTAGTTCTTCCCTAAATGCAATCCATTTTACTCATTCCTCCATCATACCCTTCCCTTCCTGGATGTCATTAACTCAAGGATGACAGGGTTGCTTTTGCTCAGACTGTCTCTTTGATTTGAATCAGGTTCAGGATAATTGCCCCCTGGTTACTTCCTTGGCCATGAATTAATTATTCCCATGTATTAAGGCATTCTCCCAAAAATGTGTTAGCTGAAATACACCCAAAATATCTGGATAAGGTGACATATGAAGCATGAGTGGGATTAATTGGACCATCTGGCAAACACCAGGGCCCTGAGTGGGGAAAGATTCAGAAAAGATGCTACCTAGCAAGGTGGGACATTGCCACCAGGGCCCTATGAAGCTGAGCAGAGGGCTGAAAGAAGGGCAGGAGTCTCAAACTGTCTTTACTTCAGGAGCTGAAGATCTTTCTCAGAAAGGGAGCAGGAGGTACGGCATTTAGGCACAGAAAGGAGAAGGGCCAAAAGCTAGAAATAGAGGAACATGAAAAACTGATGACATTTAGGGGAGAATTCGTAGGACTTCCAAGGAATAACAGGCATAAATCTAGAAATCCCTAGTGTCATAGGATTGGAAGGGCCTTTAAAGCATTCGGGTAAAATTCCAATCCACAGTATGAATGATATAAACATTTCTTCAAGGGGGTAGCATCCCTCCAGTTGAACACTGCCAGCACTGGGAAACGCCCAACCTTAGGAGGTGTGAGTGAAATTCAATTAAAGTTCAATTCAACAAATATCTATTGAATACCTACTATGCACCAGACTGTAAGTATGAATAATATAGGCATGGCCCCTGCTCTGTGGATCTTATACTCTAATGTGGAAGTTGGATACATAAACACACAGGTAGAATGTGCTGCTCAAACAAAAGGTGGGGTACCTAATACGAGACTGGGCATCTGGGAAGGCTTCACGCACGAGGCAGTGTCTAGGCTGGGGCTTGAAGAGTGTGAGGAGTTAGCTGAATGCAGGGTAGAGGGACCCAGAGGAGTGAGAGAAAACGGGTGCTTCAGGCTTCCCAGCTTTCAAAGAAGTTGAGTGTTGCAAGAAGGTGGAGTCCAGCTCCTGAAGGGCTTCCCAAACGATGTTGAGGAGTGTGGGCTTAATTGCTGGGGCAAAGGGAAGCCTGTAAAGGGTTTTAAGCAGGAGAAGCGCCCTCTAGCTACGCTTGGGAGGGATGCTACGATATCCAAGGGTGGCGTGGAGGCCAAGAACCCGGGGGAAAAACGGGATAGGAAGGCCTTCATGACCCAAAGGTTATGACCAAAAGTAAAGCGCTCTTTTATGATAGCATCGAGACAAAAAAAAAGGGGGGGGGGGATAAAGTTTATAATGCAGTGGGAACGTCACCTCCGTCCTCTCTCACCTTTGTTGGGCAAACCAAAGCGGCTCGCTCTCGGTTTGCCCCATCACCGCGGAGTGTGGGCCGGGGGAAGGCTCCACGCCCTCTTCTCTGATAGGAAAACTGAGGCCCAGAGTCTCGAGGTGGGGGCCAAGGAGGAAAAAACATCGAAACAACCTTTCAAGAGGGCGCCCGAAGTCACGCACGATTCTTCGAGGGTCCCGAGGCCTGCCCCATTTCTCCATCAGCCATCCCCAACCAGCCGCCTTTGCTATGGAAACAGTCCTCCCGCCCTCCTCAGCGCCTCCGTTTCTTCAATGCACCCTGGAAAATGCAGTCCATCTCTGGTTACCTTCCCGCGGCATGAGCCTACTCCACGTCCTTAAAGGACTACAAGTTCCAGAAGGCCGTGCAAAAACGCTGGCCGTCTCTGGGGGATGTGGTCTTGTCAGAGACCCAAGAACCCGCGGGCGGGGCTAGAAGGGTGAGGGGAAGGCACCCCCCAATGGGCGGCCTCCTGGGCGGGACCCGGGTCGCCATTGGATACGGCAGCGCAGAGGAGGCGGGGTCAGCGGAATGAGGCGCGGAGCTGTTCGCCGCTCCAGGTGCTGAGTCCGAGGGAGCCTCCGGACGCGGGAGCCGCGGTCGCCCCCGCTGCCGCCGCCGTCGCCACCGCGAGAGCTACCATCGGGAAGCCGGGGTCGTGAGGAGCCCGAAGGAGCTGAGTGCGCTGCCTAGCGCTGACGGCCATCCCGCCTCTCTGAGGTCGGTGCTTCCGAATTTCGCTTTTGTTTTATTGGAGAGGGAATGTTCTGAGGGGTGAGGGGGCCTGGGGAGTTGAGGGGAACTGTCCTCACCGCCCTCAAGACCATCTGTCCCGGAGAACTGCTGACGACTCCTCGCGGGTTTCCCTGTGGCCAGGCGCCTGAGGTCGCAGCAGCTTTGGTTAATTTTTGTTTTACGTTGGAGAGGGCGCTTGAGTGTGAGGGACCCTTCCCCCCTACCCTTACCCCCCCACCCCCCTCCGACCCGTCTCTCCTGAGAGGACGCTGAGAGCTTGGAGCCTCCCACCCCTATGCCTAAAGTCGAGGCTGCTTGGATTATTGAGGATGGGAGGGAGTGTTCTGGGATAAATGGTTCGGAGGCAGGGGGACCCTTCTCCGCAATATCTCGGCTGCTTGTGGTTACAAAGGGGGGTCTGCATGTGATGGATGAGACCGCGGGACTCCTCCTCTGCTCAGACCCTCCTGGGGTTATCGAGGAAGGGCTGTTGGGGATACCAGGATGACCCTTCCCAGTGCCCACCCTTCTCCCGAAGCTTAGGGTTTTGTGAAGAGGGGGGACAAGATGCAGATGGAGACAGGGGACTCTCTCCCCTCCCATTTGGACCCGCCCAGGTTATTGTGGGGATTGGGATGTGAGAGGCAAAGGCCGGGAGACTCATCCCCACCCTGATGGGAGTCACCGGTACAGGAAAGCACTGATGGGTTATTGGGGTCCTCTGCGCTCGGGAGCCCCGCGCCTGAGGTCGAGTGGCCTGGGGGTTGGGAGTATGCGGTGGAGGAAAGTAAGAGGGATTGAGGAACCCCTCCCGACCTCTCCCCTCCCAGTCCTTATCTTCTAGGCCTGCTTTACCTGGATCCAGACCAGGGGCCATAAGTCGAGACGACCCTCCCCTGCCCCGCCCCGCCCCGGGCACCTGAGATCCAGCACCGCAGAAGGGAGGCACCTGGGTGGGCAAGTGCGGGGCGGGTCCCTTCTCAAGCACCCCGGGGCTCTGAGCAGTCGCTCCCGGCGCCCGTAGACCCTTGGGGCTGCTCCACTCCAAGCGGGGTGCGCCCCAGATTGGGCCACTGAGACCTGAGTCCGGGGCAAGCAGCGGCAGCTCCAAGCGTGGGGCTTTCGCGCTCCGCCCCGGCATCCGCGGGAGGACAAAGCGGCGGTCGCCGCACTGGCGGGCCTGCGCCAGGGACTGAGCGGGGGGCGCGGCCAGGAGAGGGGGGGCTTCGGGCGCGGCTCCGGGAGCTTCGGCGGAAACGTGCCAGAAGCTGGGCGGGAGACAAAGCTTGCTCGCTCCTCTCGGGCCCGCGCGAGCCGGGATGGAAAATCCCAAGAGAGGCGGTGGCTGAGCCCAGGCAGGGCACTAAGCCCCACACCCTTCTTCCCCGCACAGCCCCCCCCCCACCTCTC